GTCTAATAATCGCTGCCTTTCTCTTGCACTCACCCTGCTTTTCATCCGGGAAGCTTCCTCCATTCGGAGGAGAGTCACAGCCTTAGAAGTTGTTGGCGGCAATCACTCCTACCGCAACTTTCCTTCCTCAGCCTCCTCTGAGTGCGCTGGGAATCTCCAAAGCCACAGCCCAGGTCCAGACTCCCTCCTTGCTTCTTTCAAGAGGGCGGGGTCGTTATCTTCTTTGTCTTAATACTTTTTGTGGTTTGCTGTGAGTCTTACATGAACAGGCATCAAAATAACTTTACCAACTGTAAAGAGAATTTGCTTCTTGAGATCTGCCCTTCTGATTCAAAGGTAACGAAAACTTTCCCTGCTCTCTGTCTTTGATTTTCCACGGCTCTCCATAAGGCCACGTCTATATATCTCTGAAAAGGAAGTCAGTCAGGGAACACACAATTGAGGTTGAAGCAAAGATACCCGTTCCAATTTTCGCAGGACAGTTCTTCAAACAGTGAATAAAGCTGTTCAGAGGTTGTTTGAGGAGAAGGAGGAATTACAACTCAGGATGTCCGTCAACAAACAGACTCGTAGACATTTTCTTATTCTGAGTTGTCAGCATAACTGCATCTCCACACCAGAGGAGCCGGACTGTGGCAGAAAATGGCAAACAGGAGACTGAGGCAGCTCCGACAAAGGGATGGGTGTTGTTCCCCAGAAATGCAGGGGATGGGAGGGGGCGCACTGGATATTTGAGGGGTGGTGAAGAGGTCTAAGGGGCACCTAGCAACTGCGGAAGACTGGGTGGGGCCTCTGCCCGATCCACCGTATTTCAGAGAGTCCTGTTGTTCCTGTATACATCTCCTCAGTTTTGCCTACCCTGAAGTTACTGTAAAAGGGGCATATCTGGCTCTTTCCTTTTTTTTCCCCCTTGGTCCTGGGGATCAAACTTGGGTCCCTGCACTTGTGAGGCAGGCGGTGGCACCACTCTTTGTATTGAACTGGAGAACCCATTCCATTTTTTTCAGCTCTAAGTGTATTATGTGTACACTAATTGTGGTCACAAAGCAGGTGCAATCCACGGAGTCAGTGAAATAGTGAAGGTATGGATAAACAAGAAAAAAATACTGAAAACCCTAGTTTCAGAAAGATTTCTGAGCACAGGAGTGGGACGTTGCTCTCTGCTGCAGAAAGGCCAGCTGAGCGTCTGTTTATTAGTGAAGATGCAAAAGAAGATAAATTTGTCAATTTCATAGTTGTACAATGACCACGAATGGAGGCACTCCTGAACTACAAACCTTTCTGAACTCGGTCGGGGCTATTTCAATGAAGCAATATTTTGCCAGCATAAAAATCTACACAGACATCTTCTTTTTATGGTTATTTCATGTTCTCTGGAATTGAATAAGATTTACCATTTACAAAAGAAAGTACGGAGCCAAAGGAAGTCAAGTTTATGTCTCTGTTGCTATTGCTTGACCCAACATGATGGACATATTCTGTTACCAGCTTTTAGACACAGTGAACAGGAAGAAGCAAGGTGAGTTCAAATGGAAAGAAGTCCAGACCTTTCTCCAAATGTTCGCTTCGTGATGCCAGGGAAATGACACTTTTGGGAAATGACATTCTTAGGTTCCCAGGCATTTTGATGTCTGCCCAAATGGCAATCGACCGTTTATTTCTGGGACTGTACTCCTTTTTATTGACAGCACTTATCACATTCTAATTATACTAGAAATACTGGCTCGTTCCTGCATCTAGTACTGTACATATCGTGACCATTTCTAATCTACATTATGCAATCCATCCCCTAAATACGGGGTTACAAACCCCGTGATTAAAACACGGTTCCTTCCCACCAACAGCTCATTCCGGGTGGAATAAAGAAACACAAGGACATAGGATGCATCGTGATACTGTAATACAGGCACAGTTGGTTTCCATAATACAAGTACCACGATATGTTTGGACCAATTCCGAAGGTGATTTGGGCTAGATCATGAAGATAAATCATGCTACATGGCTGCTTCACGAATGTACATCTTTGTAAACAACTATTTCTTTTACTGACTTGAAAATAGGCCCACGTCTTGTAGTTTGTACCCCTCACGAGCCTGTAGCATAGTATTTGTGAAGTAAATATGCATGGGATAAATAAATGAATGAAATCTAAGTTTGAGGCTTTTAATAAAAACCATAAACTTCGTAAAGATATTAAAATTATTTTCCGACAATGGGGAAAACAACCACTTCGAGTGTTCAGATACTTGCTGATTGGAAAAGTGAAATGACTTCAGACACTAATTTTGAAATGAGCTGTGGCCCCTCAGCTGGGCAGCACAAACCAGAACAGTGTGAGGCTCAGAGCTGCCTCTGAAAGCGGGGGAGGTTCTACTAGCCTCTGGATCGGCACTTTAGGGTGCAGATACTACTGGCCTTTGATAAAGGCGGGAACCCAGATGAGAAAGGTAAGTCATTAGCTCCAAATCTCCCAATTAGCATACGGTGAAGGCTGGATTCCAACCAGTACCTGGAGAGCCCAGCCCAGCCAAGGCAGCCAGAGTAGGACTGGCCTGCATAATTAAAAGGGGAGGAAAGTGGAAGGAGTGAGAGACAGCTACAACAGCCACCGGCAGAGTCAGCAGAGGGATGTCTGGTACTCAGCACACCGCAGCTGCGTTACCGGACTTCCTCCTTGGTAGGTCGTGCGATCTTCCTCCAAAGGAGGCCAGGAACGATTCCTGGTCAGAAACTCACGGGAGAACAGCAGTGTCACAAAGGGAAGGACAGAAAAAGGGGCACAGGGTAGCAGACAAAGAGTGGAAAAAAAGACAGAAGATGAGGGAGTGTGTGTGGAACTTCGTAACCCTTCCCGAGCCCATCTCCCGTGTGTGCAACGTTAGCTGGGGTTTGCTTATGAAAGTACAGCCACAGACTGAACTGTGTACGCGGATTTGGACCTCGAAGTCTCCGCACACTGGCTTGATGCCGTGGACTGAGACAGGCAGGGAGACGGAAGGGATCATTCACTCAGCCTGTGGGACAGCCACGGGATGGGCATGTAAGGAGGGATCAGAGAGGGAAAGCTGCCACCCGTGCTCCCGTCCCCTCTCATCTGCTGCCACACGCTTCTTGCGACCTTCTGATCACGACTGCTTCCTGTTGCAACAGTTTCAGTCAAAGCCACCATCATCAGAGCAGTGGCAATAATTAGGAGGTCGCAAATAGAACAACTGAAGTATTTCGGACAAGGAGAGGATACCACTTCTGACAGCGATTTCTCAGGAACATTAATACATTTTAAGCTTGAAAGAAAAATGTTTTCCCCTGCCACGCAGCACACTTTTGAAAGTCTTTTTTAACCTTATCACGGTTTCTGTGATGCCCTCTAGCATGCTCCTTACCCAGGCCACACGAAACTTGCAAACTTTTACCTTCAACTTCTCTGAGATAGCTGAATAAGGATTCTGAACTCAAATCCTAAAGTCTTTTTTAGTAAACAGTGTCACTGTCCTTTCTCCGAGCTTCTGCTTCCTCGATCTGAACAGCTTTGGGTAAAGCACTCCCAAATACTCCCCAAAAATGACAGGAAAACAAGCACAGACCCCGTTATTTCAGTGCACAACTGCTCTACTATCAACAGAAAATAGACATATTTTCTATGCACGCTACAGTGAAAAGATGGCCTTTCTTTTCTTAATTACTGAAGAGTGACTCACAGCCCGTCCTCACATGGGTCAGGGCTCCTTTTCCTATCTCCTTTTCCGAGTCTACTCAGCAGAGTAGATCAGAAAGCATAAAACGCGGCTCCCATCTGAAAGCATTCTGACAACGATTCCCTTGGAGGAGAGGGTTTCTCTCCTTACAGGGGGAAAATTAGAGCAAAATCTACAGGCCGACGCTGATCTGTTTTCCAAAGAAAATCAAAAGCTGAGTGAGTCAGGAGGTCGGCACCGACTCCAGGAAGGCAGGGCAAAGGCCCAAGCTTGTCTCTCTGAGGGTGTGGACGTCACAGGCCACCCCCATCTCCCTTCCCACCCAGGCGCGAACTGGCTAAGTGCTCTCCCGGTCCACCTACTCCACACTCAAAGGCCGATCTGGTAACACGCCAGTGAGGTCTAGGGAGAAAGGCGCGTTCTCCTGTGACCCCCAAACCTGTTGTGTCCACTAAGAAGTAATGGCATGCAGCCAAGAAACAGAGCCACTCCAAGCCACAGTTGGGTGGCATCCGTGGGGCTGTCAAGATAACCAGAGAAAACAGGTAGCTAAAGACAGCAGAAAGCAAGGGCGCACAAGGAAACCGTCTGTGATTACAGAGAGAGCGCAGAAACAAAAGCCTAAAGACAGCTTTAGGGAAAGGGCTTTCTCACGCCTCCCCTTCCAAGCTATGTTTTGCTCAGTCAATGCCATTCGTGGATTTGTGTGTTCATTTACTCCTTCCCTCCCTGTGCTCAGTGCTCAGCGCTTAGCGGGTGCGTTCAAGTTGGTGCCACAGTGAAATAATCCCTGCTTTTCCTGCGCTCTGCATGTACTTGCGGCCGGGGGAACATGGCCTGTCCTGGGGTGGGGGGACACGTTCTCTGGGCCCTTCCCCTCCGGCCTCTTGCTCTCTTGCTGTGCTGGGAAAGAGGACCTGTGCGCGCACAGGAAACCTTTTCTCCAGGCAGGCTGGAAAAGAGATTTGGAACACTGTGGCAGACATAGTCCACCGAACTATTTTTTTCTACCTTCAAACTAAGGGTTCTTTTGCTTTTCCTCACACTCACTGAAAAATGACCCAGCTGGGTGCAGTGGCACACACCCAAAATATCAGCTACTAGGAAGGCCGAGGCAGGAGGACTGAGCGTGGCACCCACCTAGGCAACTTAGCGAGATCCTGTATCAAAATCAAGTGGGGGGCAAGGGGCTGAAGATGTAGCTCAGAGTTTCCTGGGTTCAATTTCCACTATGGGGAGGCAGAAAGCAAAGGAAGAAGAGTAGAAGCAACGAGCTACCCAAGGAGAGAGAGGGGCACCCTGTACCTGGTCTCTCAGCCTCTCCTGGTGGCCCATGATTGCTGTGGCGTGGTGCGGGTATTTCTGTTTCAGGTGCTCCAGGAAAGCTTCTCTCTTCCTGTCCATCTCAGAGGCCTGCATTCCCAGGATTTCTCTGGAACTTCGGGGCCCACCTAGGGTGTGTCTCCTCAGGATATTTCGGGACGCCTTGGAGCCCGAGGCGCGGCTGCTCCCATTAGCAAGGCGCTCCTTGGTCCTGCGGGATTCTGCATCTTCCAAGGATGTTACCTGCAGATTGCCTTTCCCTTGTTCTGCAAGACGAAAAAATACAGTTCCCAATGAACCATTTCCCACAGGAAATCTCACTACAGAGCACCAAGAGGCTGTGCGGCCGTTGTTAACACAGCAGTGTAACTCAGCAGGCCCCTTTTCTTCACTTTCTTCCTTTCTTTCCTTTTTCTTTTTTTTTGCAGCAAGGAGGGAAAAATGGACACCCCTCACCTCGGTCTACAAACTACAGCACAGTCAGAGCCAGCGACTCAGGTTATTTCTATATTTTTAATTACAGAAATAATAGGGTTTAAAAAATTTGTGTGTTCTGAAGACAGTTTCTGAAATATGTGTTTCATCACCAAGAACAAAAATAGCTGTTACCCGACACAGAAGTCATATAACCACGGACAGATTTCAACCACGTGCAAGTTCTACTTCTCTCATTAGCATAAGGCGGGCAAACAGGAAGAAAATTACCAGAATAATCAAGGGTTGAAAAGTAAAGGTTTAAGCACACCTTACTTGAAGGGGCCTTTATCTGAAACACACAAAGGAAGACATACAGTGCCTTGTGATAGCCACGGCTCAGATAGTCGGGTTCAGCTCCAAGCTGGCCGTTAAGGCAAATGTTGGTTTCTCTCGAGAAGAGATGGACTAAGACTCACAAGGCCAATGCTCAGGCACCGGAAGTACAGGTGACACCACCCCGCTCCGTTCACTCTCAGGGGCTGGAGAAGGGGAGACAGACAGGCTTTCCGGTAGGAGCGCTCCAGTTAACTAGGAAAAGGAACGAGCTCTTTCAAAAGCCAGATCAGGGAAAGTACAGATCACTCATAAACACCTAAGGAGCCGGCTGGGTTTCTCATCACAAAGCCCAGTTTTCCTTATGGGAAACAGTTCTTTTGCAGTCTTAGAGACACAGGCAAAATAAAACGTCCCTGTCCTCTGAATTCCACAGAAAAGCCTGAGACTGGGTCTTGTGAACCCTGGCTTTTCTCCTAGGTTGAGAACGAACAACTGGATCTCCCTGTCTTGTTTTCTTCATTGATAAAAATAGAAGGGTTGCATTAGCTTTAGCAATGCCAAGAGGCAAGAGCCTTCCTACCTCTAAGTCCTTTAAATATAGTCTACATTTTAAAAATTTGCAGTAGCAGTTTGTCAATAATTGATCTTTAAATTAAATGCACAAGAACAGATTCCATATTTGAGAGTTCTGCTCATCCGTATCTCAGAGAAACAGAGAGCCCAACCTTCACAGCAGTGATGTAAAATGACGGGTGCCCAGAGCTGAGGTATAAACCAGTCCCTAAAAGCAGCACTGCCAACAGCGTCCCTCTTCTCCACCCAGAAACACCTGCATACAGTGTTTAGGCACAGACTCCCTTTGGTCAGGCACAGAAAATACGTTAATCTCAGGCTGCTTTCCCTGTTCCAGTCTTCCAGAGCTCGGTATGCGTGCTAGGAACAGTTCTCCTAGCCTCCCTCCACTTCGCATTACACTGCTAATTATAGCATCTCCATCAGACATTGCCGAGGGAAGGGAAGGAACACACACAGCCAAATTAGCCAGCCCTTCTACTTTTCATTAGTTCCAGCAGAAAATGCAAAAGGGGAGAAGACTGAACACTAGTTAAAAGAAGGATATCTGGGTACCCTTCCAAAACTTACACTCGGGTAGTTACCTTATTTAGGGCCTCTTCCCTAATAATATCGAAGCAACAGGATCTACTAAAGAAAGGTAGACACAGGCCTGGGGCTGATGTGCAAGGCCCTGGGCTGGACACTCAGCATGGACAAAAGGGAGGGAGGGAGGGAGGGTACTACATGCTGAACAGGCCACGTTTCAGCTTGATAAATACACGCGCAATCTCGAGATGCCTGGCTTTACCTTCTGAGCATGTGCACCCCACCTGTGTTAACCAAAACTGTTGCATACCTGATGTAACACTATTGACTTTTAAGTGGGTTTTTTAAAAGATTACTTTTTACACCTTTTTAAAAACTATCTGGGGCAGCTGTGTTAACGGTCAGAACCGAGTCTCTGGAAAGACTCGTGTGATTTCTTCACAGGGACGTAACACAGACAGACGCCTGCACACACCCATATGGACAAACGCTCGCATGTTTTCAGGGAGGACAAAGTCCTGATGTGGGCAGGATGTGGCATTCTGTCTGGCTGCAGGGCTGACTCCCAGATCTGTTCTGTTTCACCCAAGGGTCATCAGGAGAGGCCATTTGACCAGCACAGCAACCCTGCAGATCATAAGAGGTTTTCACTTTCTTTTGTAAAATAAATTGGGAAGGCTAGATGGAAGGTCTTGGAGGTCACTGTCTATCTTCTGTCCACGTCAACCTTTTGGGGGTTTTTTGTAGGGAGGGGTTGAGGCAGGGACTTCTATGTAGCCCAGGCTAGCGTCGAACTTATGGTGATCCTCCTGCCTCAGCCTCCCAATGTTAACCTCTCAGAGCCCTCAACTTCTGGACTCTCTCTGTCCTCGTCCTGTTCTAACTCTTCTCACTGGGAAAGTCTCCAACCTTACATGGCTTTTCCAATTTTATTTCTTCTCTTTCCTGTGGATGTTTCTAAAGTGTCTCCCGTTGCTTAACAGGTCTTAATGTGACCTGGAGGAAAGCAGCGAGCAGCGCCTGTCCCAGATGGGACTGGAAGATGCCCGGTGGGGACATCCAGCAACCCGCACCGCCCCATCTCTCCTTCCTGTCAGCCCTCTCTGCCTGGTGCTCTATCAGCCCATCAGCCTCCTGTCGTCCTCCACCAGGCCCCCGTTCCACTTTCCCCGCACAAAGCCACCTCACACACATCCCGTCACCCGAACCTCCCCCATGAGGCGCCCTTCTGTGGAGCAGCCGTTTCCACCCGAGGGAAGAGCGGGGACTCTGGCATTTGAGTCCCTGGGGGGAGGACACGGTCTTTCAGCTGAGGAGCAAAAGCAGGATTCCAAGCGAAGGAGAGGGGCCAGGCACAGGACACTTTGTCACTCCTCGTCGGCCAGCTCCTCCTGAGAGAAAAGCTCCAGTGTGGCTTGTGCAAGCCTTCCGCACAGGAATACAATTCTGTTTCTTGTTTGGAATGTGCTTTGGTGCTCACATTTAAATATGGGTGTGCCTGGCTGTTTGCTATTCTGGGAACCCGCGTAAGGAAGCGATGAAGCAGAGGCCAGAGGACGAGGCTTGGGAGATGCTGAAAAGCAGCCCTGTTTCCTCTCCTGCCCCTCCCGGCCTCTGGAGAGCCCAGAGCAAAGAGAAAGGAAGCTCAAAAATGGTAAACAAGCCCTTAAACCCTGCCTGGAGCAGGAGTGGGAGGAAGGCAGAAGGCTGGAGATGCTGGTCAGAGTCCCCACTGGGCCCGGCCGCCCCGGTGGGGCAAGGACTGCGGAACCAGGCACCGCGGAGCTGCCACACCGGCCTCTGTGCACACCCAGGCTCCTTGGGCTGCACCAGCTGACTCGCCGGGAAAAATGAGGGGCCTTGCATCACACGGGCAGCAGGCCACGGTGCGGGGGCTTTCCTGCTTTGTGTTTGGGTTTTTTTTGGTGTTGGGAGGAGCTCAGAGTCCCTCTTGTGCTCAGTACACACAGTCACACTAAGCCTGGCTGTGGATTAACCCTGGGCCAGGACTAGGCAGGCTGCAGACTCTCCGGAAAAGTGTCCCTCCTCCCTGCGCATGACTTCGGCTGGTGAGATGCCATGACGAACTGCTGCTGTGCACGGCTGTACCACCTCTCCGGGTGCCCCAGGCACCAACAGCACAGGGAGGGCGCATTTCCTGGCGCTGTCCACCTCAGCGGGGCCTTGTCCCGATCCTGGATCCTGGTCCAGGCATGCGGCGGAAGTGACGTGGGCACTTCTAGTCCCGGTCCCTGGGCCTCCTGACTACTCCTCCACACGTGCTCTCTTTCTGTGAATGCAAAGAGTTCAGCAGGAGCCTACGTGGAGCAGAGTGATGGGGCAACAGGACCCCGGGTGGCCCCAGGAGATACCCCAGACTGGGCTGTTACACTCCTCGGAGGAAGAAATCAGCCTGGACCACGCAAAGCCACCACGATCAGAGAGCTGATAGGACAGTAGCTGCCGTGACTGACACACGATTCTGTGGGACGCTCACGGGGTCCCTCTGCTTTCCAGCTCCCTCGGCAATAGTAGAAGACTCATTACCATATGCAAAATAGCACAGAGATTACAGCTGACCCCAAGCCATTACCCTCTTCCCAAGAGCTTGAACACAGAAGTGAGGGGTGAGGAGGATTTCTGGTCTGGAGCGAAACAGACAGCCCTTCCCCTACCTGCAAAAGCATTCTGTGCCAACTATTGATGAAAGTTAATTTATCAATCGATTGATTTAGTTACCCAATCATACAAACATTTACACCATGCCTATTCTGTACAACGAAAGGAATTAGGGGACAGAGTGGTGACACAGTGACCAACACAGACCTAAGTCCCTTCCCTTACAGAGGAGCCAGCATAATTACACAGACAGACAGACAACATTCAATCTCAGTGTCACACAGCGACGAGTGCTTTGGAGACTAAAACAAGACAAGGGAACAGAGGCTGATTTTGTGTTGTTTTTTGTTTTTTGCAGCGGGGACCTTGCACTTCCAAGGCAGGCAGCAGAAGTGACAGGTTTTAGAAAAGCCTATGCACTGCTCAGGCAGGCTGTCCTATGACAGGCGCAGACTGGACTGCGAGAGGCCAGCAGGAGGCCTGACCACCTGCACACAGGTTTCATGACCGCAGGGCTGCAGTGAGCAGTGAATGTCCCCTAGGACCACACCAAGGAGCCACGGCTTTCAACGGGACCCGGATGCAGTCCGATTCAGATGCCACTGACAGCCACCGAGCGCCGGCTCTGTGGCACAGGCCCACCGTCATTCATCCCTACGAGCGGGAAAGCTTCCGTGATTAGAGCAATTCTCAGGGTGACCCAACGCCCCACGGTGCCCAAAGCACACTGGGTCACAATGTCGTGCAGTGAAGTTATTTGGAGTGCTCCCTTTCACTGTCACGAGTGTCTGGG